TCCCCCGGAGGAGCTGGAGGAAGTGTCTGGAGAGAGGGAAGTCTGGGCATCTTTGCTTAGACTGCTGCCCCCGTGACCCGGTCCCAGATAAGCGGTGGAAAATGGATGGATGGATGGATACAGCCTGGTTTAACTGTACCTCCAGGGCCAAACCTGTAAATTATTTAGACATATGACTTGTTTTTTATTCATTTAGTTGTGTTTTGAGTTATTTTTGCAGTTGTATGCTTTATTTTGGAACAAAAGCCCTTCACATGTTGATCCTGATACTACCTGACCTCCAGATGGAGTTTCGGCCCTGCAGGATGACCCCAGTGAATAGGGTGAGGTGCATGGCATCCACCTCAAGCCACTGTTCCCGGTCTTTGTACTCTGCACACCAGGCTCCGTCATACAGGTCCCCATCCTCGATGCCAGACTGAAAAAAGCAAAACAATCTACATGGTACACAGATTTTTTTTATGAACCACAGAACACATTAAACCAAAAGCTCCTGGCTCTGCCTCAGTATGAAGCATTGCATAAGATTCTGGTGTTGACCTGATTGTAATTGCTTTCAGACTGTAGAACAAAGGGGGGGGGGGGGGTTTGGGGGGTGGGAAAGAAAAGGGCTGTTTAATGAGTAGTTTAGCTGAACTGTTAAATGATTCTATTCGTAGAAAAACAATATAAAGGTACTCACTGAAGTTTTATTATAGTAGCCATTTCACATGCCAAAAAATGCAAAGAAACAAAAAAAGAGAGATGGGGAGTGTAGGCAGCCTACTTTCCTTCCATTAATTTAAAAATATGCAGTGGAAATTTTGGACAGAAATGAATGTGAAATGAATGACTAAAGACACAAGCATTTGAATCTACAAATAGTTTGAATATACTCCTCTTTACACTTTCTACAAATAACAAAACAAGTTGTTATTTGCTGTTATTCTTAGGATTTCTATAAGAATCGGTTCTCTGGTGTTTGAAATGACCCTGGTTTCCTAGACCGACCTGAATATTCAGCCTCCCCCTGTGAGGACCCAGACCAGTCCGCTGGTAAGAAGAAGCTTGGATCTGGCTGTCATCGACCCTCAGGGACTCCAGGCCAAGGGGAGGGCAATCTGATAGGAAAACAAAGCTGTCAGGAGAAAAAAATCTTCTTTGGGTTTGTGTCTCTGCTTATCTGGAGTTGCTGACTGGGGTTAAACTTTTTCTGGTTTCTTTGAGTCAGTAAACTCAAGGCTGGTGTAATTTGAGCAGCCAGCAATTTTTTGTGGAATATTTTTAATCATCCCGGGTCAGTTAACTGCAAGTTTGGAGGCCCTCTCCGCCACCTCTGCCACTCTGGGGGAGTGGCAGAAACTGCAGATAAGTGAGTCCGTGGAGGGTTTAAATGTAATTTGAGACATGTTTGAGGGCCAAGGAAGCATAAAGTCAAAGGTTACAAGAGTCGAGAGAGGAAAGCTACAGCTGCAGACTGTTTTATGACTTTGAGAACAAACAGTAATAGTCGCATCAATCATGTAGACTGCTAGTACTGGCAGCTCAAAACAGTTTTGTTCTGCACTCTTCATGTCCTCAAATTGGGGACAAATCCAATTAATATGTTTAGGGCTGTTATTAGCTGATTAGTCAATTTGCTGGTCATTTTTTTGAAAGTTCACTGCCTTCTTTTCCTTAGTTTTCCATGATAGTAAATTCATTTATCTTTAGGACTGGATTGTTGCTCAAAACAACTGATTTGTGCTCTTGGAAATCCGATGAGCATTTTTCACTCTTTTCAAGCAAAAACAATAGTTGTTTTTTAGAAATGTTATGCAGATGAATTGAAGGTTAGTAGTTATGCAGTGTTCCATCTTAAATCAAACACCAAATGCAAAAAATTATGTAAATTGATATTTGATTTCTCAAATTTAAGGACAGTTTCATAAGAAATTGTTTATAGAGCTGAAACAAATTTAATCATTGAGCTCCTTTAATTAGAATAACAAACAATTACCAACAAATAAAAAACTTAAGCACTTTTTAATGAAAAAAATGCAAAAAAAGGACTGGATTAAAGAAAGTTACACAGAAATCTCTTTAGATCTAAAACAATCAGGTGATTAATCAATTTTTGCAAAACAAGGTTCACTTGATCACAGCTTTTCAAATATGAATGTTTACTGATTTTTTCTTCTTCCATGATAGTATATTCTATATGTTTTGTTTCTGGACTGTTTTCTGGCATCTTCCAGATTAAACAATAAATTAATCAAAAAAATAATTCATCACAAAAATATCTATTTGTAAATAAACTCTGGAATGTCCTGGAGCATTACAGCAACAAAATGCTTTAAAAAGTATTCATCACACATTAAAACAATGTGATGTAACCTGATTTATGTTTTATAACTTTACAAAGACAAAGCGGAGCAGAACCTAACCTCAGCATCAGGGTCCCTGAAGGCATCAGCTTTTTAAAATGCTCTGTACGGCATCTTTAATTAACAGTAACACTTGGGTTTAATCAGCTTGAATCTCCCTGACTTTTCACAGCTTCACTGAAAAGCAAAGCTGGCTTACTTGGCAGAAGTTCAGATGGTAAAAGTGATTTTCCTACCTAGTCCAGTTTTCTCATCTTCTTTCTTATTGTCATCTGTTTCTTCTTCTTCTTCTCTATTGCCGCTTACTTGGTCTCTGTCTTGGCTGATGTTTTTGGTGTCCAGTTGTTTGCCTCCGATAGTGGGGGTGAATAACTTTGTCTGTGCTGTCGTTGGAGTTGGTGGGTTTCTGCTGTGACCATCTACAGTGACAGACTCAGTCCAGTTTACAGTCACGGCTGTAGTTGTTGTAGTTGTGTTGTTGGATAATGAACTACTCTCTGTGGTCACATCATTTATCAGCGCTCCAGCGTTGTCTAAAAAGCCTCCCAGAAAAACCACTGCAGCCAACATGCACAATGACTTTTCCATCTTGCTCTCTGTTTGCTGCTGCAGAGTGGTGGAGGGGAAAAAATCCCCACCTAGTTTATGTGGAGATGACAGAGCTAGATCTCCATCCACATCCCTCCTCCTCCAACCCACCTCCCTTCCTTGGTTTTCCCTCCCACAATTCCAGCAAAAACTCAAAAACAGGCATGCGTGATTTTATTAGTAGTAGTAATGGGTATCTGTACCTTACTTGAGTATTTTCATTTCTGCTGCTTCATACTTCAACTTAACTACATTTCAGAAAAAAAGTGTCGTACTTTGTACTCACTACATTTATTCGATACCTTTAGTTACTATTTATGTTTAAGAAAGAGATTAATAAACAAACATTACAGTCACAAAACTTTTTTATTCTTGGTGTAAAATTCAAAAACTGCCCAGAAGTAATGAAAGTATATAACATAGCAAACATTACATGTGATGTACACAATAATACATTATTAATTATAATCCAATAATATGATATACATGAATCTAAATTGTGCCATTCTGCATAATGAGTACTTTTATTTTTGGTACTTTAAGTATATTTTTATGTTAATTCTTGCTATAGTAACATTTTGAATACATATAACAAATTAAATGTTTACATATAACAAATACAAGTATTTTTACATTGTTGTATAACGTCTTTTACTTAAGTAAACAATCTGCGTACTTCCGCCATGACTGATAGTAGTAGTAAAACTAGCAATAGCAGGAGTATCCCAAAACAATACTTTTATTTTGAAATCGACAATGTCTGAATGTGATTGGCTCATTTCGATATGACGTATGCCGGGAAATGGCCACGCAAGCCACTGGAATCATAACATTGCATATGAAGTCTCATCATCATTATCGTTTAATTTCAGCTATTAATTTAGCTGTCTCCGTCATGACTGTTTGAGTCTATATTTGACAAGTGGACGTTACAACAACGAAAAGCTATTTTGCGTGCGGTGCTATGAAAACCCATATGTGAAGACCTGTTGCTGACGGCTGAGAAAGCTAACGTTAAGCAGCAGCTAGCTAAGACATGGCAGTTCGCTTGTCATGTCACTGCGGAATGTAAGTGAAACTGTGTCACTGTATACACACCAGCTACTTTACAGCTTTGTAACTGTGATACCATTATTCAGAATTTAACTCCTACATGTCTCCACCACATTTTACAGGCAGATTTTCCCACTTAAAGCAGGAAGTCGCCGCTAAATAACGGCCTGGTTGCTGACAGAGGAGCCCTTTGGTACCGTCTGTTTCAAATGACATGACGACGAATAGCTAACAGCATGTGACTCTGCTTGCCACAAAGTGAAAAGATGCCTCGTCTGGAAGAGCTGGCCAACGTTGCCCTCAGGGTGCCAAGCATACTGATGCTGGACCTGCTGTATAAATGTGACATTGAAGGTTTAACGGAGCATCTAAAGGCCAGAAATGAAGGCATGCTCTTCAAGTACAAATACGTTATCTGGAACATGTACTACCTTGGTAAGTGTGCATGTGATCCAATAAGATCAGACTTTGAACAGCCCAAGAACAAACAGGTTATGTAGGTGCAAAAGGCCCAGAAGGAATAACAATAGCTAGAATAGGAAAAACAAACACAATGTGTGGTAATGGGGTACAGTCCAGGCCACAAGTATTTTGGTAGTCACACAATTTTTGTTTCTTCATGGCCTGTGTCAGCATGATCTGTTTATAGTAAAATAAGTACTACATTAAAGGGCCAAGTCTTAGCTTTCACTTGAGGAGGATTACTTCACTGTTGAAGAACTGTATGGGAGATATACACACACCAGCCACTTTATTATCTTTGTTTATGAAGCTCAAAATGTTTCAGGTTTTAGTGAAATTGTCATAAATGTATAAATTCAATTATATGTGGTGGTGTTGTACTGGACTAGTGTTCCTAAGATTCTGATCCTCTCATGTATGTAGCTGTCAGGACAAAAATATTGAGACACTTTTAAATATAATGTAGTGCAGTACAACACCACCAATCTCAATCATACACATATAATTGAATTTATACATCCATCCTTCCATTATCTTCTGCTTATCCGGTGTCGGATCGCGGTGGCAGCAGGTTCAGTCCAGATTCTGAGCTGTTCCCAGGTCAGATGAGATATATAATCTCTCCAGTGTTATGGTCTGCTCCGGAATCTTCTACCAGTTGGATGTGCCCGGAAGACCTCCAAAGGGAGGAACCCTGGAGGCATCCTGATAAGATGCCTGAACCACCTCAACTGGCTCCTTTTGAAGGAGCAGCGGTTCTACTCCTGAAATCATACATTTATGACAATTTCACCAAAAAACTGAAGCATTTTGAGCTTCATAAACACAGATGTTAAAGTGGAAGTGATACACTCACTGGCCACAATTACGCAGGTGTACCTAATAAAATGGCCATTGAGTGTATAGTACTTTTAACACATAATGCTCAAATATATTTATCTATTTACCTCTTTATACTAATTTATGTTTAAAATGTTAAATGCTGACTGCAACTTGGGAATAAGATATGAATATGTTTTTTATGTGACCTTAAGAATAGCTAAAATAGTGTAGTTGTGTAATTTTGCCTTTTGGCAACGTGCTGACCCCCCCCTTCACCTTTTTCGGTAGTGCATGGAGAAAGGAACAAGTCTGAAAGGTGTAAAGAATAGTAATATAAAAAAAAGCTGCTGGAGAGCACAAGAGCTCATGTGCTGTTGTAATGTCAGCAGCAGGAAGGTAAAGGTATTAACACTTGTGCTTTGTTTTTAGCATGTATTTGTTAACATTTTGGCAAATTGGCATCATTAGCAGTATGGCAAATTAGCTGTCAAGACGTTACTGTTTGCAAGATATGAAAGGGTGTAAGAACATCTCTCTATGGATTACTTTGATGCTGAAGAAAACTAAGCTAATTTATGGACATTTATTCACGGTATCTGAGATAATGATCCGATAATGGTTTGTGCTGAGTGTAAGTCACACTGAATGAACATTGGTATGCATTTCACTCTCAGTTTCACCTCTCACACAGTATCTATATCAGTCCTTCTCCTCAGTACCTTTTCTTTACCTGGAAAACCTTTTGTCCAGTGAATTGTTCATATCTATTACAGATTGCATACTGTAATTTCCCAATGGGTAAAATGTCATCTGGAAAGATGAGTTAAATTACAGAGGAGCACAGTGAATATTTGATCATTCATCTTTCCCTGTAATGTTGATCCTGTCCTTTAGTCAGCTTAATACAGCCAGTCTGATCAAGGACTTGGGTGTGAGTCTACCTGGTATATCTTCCTAGTATATATCTTTTATACATTTCAGTGAGTATCTATCCCCTTAAGTCTCCAGAAAACCTAGAAAACAACCTGAATCTTCTCCTTTGCCTTCCAGGTCACTTGATAAACATGGTGGTGTTGGTTTTGCCATTGAGACACATTGTGACGCTCTACCTCCATATCCTCGCTACCCTTCTTCTATACATGATGCATCTGATTTCCAAGTGAGATGCTGTACTGCTACTAATACTACTGCTGCTACTATTGATCCCTTTTCTCACTTGACAAAACTTGGCTACAGTCACAGTGCTCCTTCCTTTATGCATCTAGTATCCTTCCAGTTTTTAAGGAGCGAGCGTACACTGTTGTTTGCAGTTCACTTTCATGTAATTTTGTCTGGTAACATAAGAACAAGCAGTGGATTTTTTAAATGCTGCAACCTTGATACAATAAAAAGACAAAACCTGACTTATTTGGGCATAAATAAATTACTGACCATAATAAACAAAATAATAAATGCATTAAATTGCAGCTCATAAAGAAATGGAGAAGTATTTTTACAATGTGTAAATTTCAGTTTTTTACTGTCACCCCAGGAATGATTTTTCTAGCAGGATAACTTTTTCCTCAAACGTTTTGCATATAGTCTTTTATTGCTTAATCCATTTCTCAAATTATTTGGACATTTCATGTTTTTATAAATTTTATTAAATATATATTATAATAAATCATAAGTCATTCCAACAAACAAACATTAGACTGCACCTCAGGCAATGGCATGTGTCTGCTAAAACAACATACTGTACCGCATACATATACGGCTTTTCTCTTTTAATTTTCAGGGATTATATTCGTGAGGAGCTGCAGCATGGTTATGAAGGAGCAGTGTTCCTTGATTCTCTGGCCTACAACAGATTTGTTTCTGCAATGAGCTGTGAGTCTCAAAAACGAACCTGTTCATATTCATAGACTTTTTTTATTTGCCATGTTTCTATAAACCCTATGAAGACTATGTTTCACAGAGCATCATGATAAAGATGCTGCAGTGTAGCCCTTAAAGTCAATCAAAAAGTAGGGGAGCTGTCAAATCCAATGAGAACATTTACAGTTGCAAGAAAAAGTAATGGCACTATTTGGAATTTCCTTGTTTTCTGCATAAATTGGTAATGAAACAAGTTGTTTTTAAAGTGCTATATAAATACACTTTGATTTGATTTGGAAAAAAAAATATAATCTCTCCAGTGTTATGGTCTGCTCCGGAATCTTCTACCAGTTGGATGTGCCCGGAAGACCTCCAAAGGGAGGAACCCTGGAGGCATCCTGATAAGATGCCTGAACCACCTCAACTGGCTCCTTTTGAAGGAGCAGCGGTTCTACTCCTGAAATCATACATTTATGACAATTTCACCAAAAAACTGAAGCATTTTGAGCTTCATAAACACAGATGTTAAAGTGGGAGTGATACACTCACTGGCCACAATTACGCAGGTGTACCTAATAAAATGGCCATTGAGTGTATAGTACTTTTAACACATAATGCTCAAATATATTTATCTATTTACCTCTTTATACTAATTTATGTTTAAAATGTTAAATGCTGACTGCAACTTGGGAATAAGATATGAATATGTTTTTTATGTGACCTTAAGAATAGCTAAAATAGTGTAGTTGTGTAATTTTGCCTTTTGGCAACGTGCTGACCCCCCCCTTCACCTTTTTCGGTAGTGCATGGAGAAAGGAACAAGTCTGAAAGGTGTAAAGAATAGTAATATAAAAAAAAGCTGCTGGAGAGCACAAGAGCTCATGTGCTGTTGTAATGTCAGCAGCAGGAAGGTAAAGGTATTAACACTTGTGCTTTGTTTTTAGCATGTATTTGTTAACATTTTGGCAAATTGGCATCATTAGCAGTATGGCAAATTAGCTGTCAAGACGTTACTGTTTGCAAGATATGAAAGGGTGTAAGAACATCTCTCTATGGATTACTTTGATGCTGAAGAAAACTAAGCTAATTTATGGACATTTATTCACGGTATCTGAGATAATGATCCGATAATGGTTTGTGCTGAGTGTAAGTCACACTGAATGAACATTGGTATGCATTTCACTCTCAGTTTCACCTCTCACACAGTATCTATATCAGTCCTTCTCCTCAGTACCTTTTCTTTACCTGGAAAACCTTTTGTCCAGTGAATTGTTCATATCTATTACAGATTGCATACTGTAATTTCCCAATGGGTAAAATGTCATCTGGAAAGATGAGTTAAATTACAGAGGAGCACAGTGAATATTTGATCATTCATCTTTCCCTGTAATGTTGATCCTGTCCTTTAGTCAGCTTAATACAGCCAGTCTGATCAAGGACTTGGGTGTGAGTCTACCTGGTATATCTTCCTAGTATATATCTTTTATACATTTCAGTGAGTATCTATCCCCTTAAGTCTCCAGAAAACCTAGAAAACAACCTGAATCTTCTCCTTTGCCTTCCAGGTCACTTGATAAACATGGTGGTGTTGGTTTTGCCATTGAGACACATTGTGACGCTCTACCTCCATATCCTCGCTACCCTTCTTCTATACATGATGCATCTGATTTCCAAGTGAGATGCTGTACTGCTACTAATACTACTGCTGCTACTATTGATCCCTTTTCTCACTTGACAAAACTTGGCTACAGTCACAGTGCTCCTTCCTTTATGCATCTAGTATCCTTCCAGTTTTTAAGGAGCGAGCGTACACTGTTGTTTGCAGTTCACTTTCATGTAATTTTGTCTGGTAACATAAGAACAAGCAGTGGATTTTTTAAATGCTGCAACCTTGATACAATAAAAAGACAAAACCTGACTTATTTGGGCATAAATAAATTACTGACCATAATAAACAAAATAATAAATGCATTAAATTGCAGCTCATAAAGAAATGGAGAAGTATTTTTACAATGTGTAAATTTCAGTTTTTTTACTGTCACCCCAGGAATGATTTTTCTAGCAGGATAACTGTTTTTCCTCAAACATTTTGCATATAGTCTTTTATTGCTTAATCCATTTCTCAAATTATTTGGACATTTCATGTTTTTATAAATTTTATTTAATATATATTATTATAAAACATACTGTATACGGCTTGTCTCTTTTAATTTTCAGGGATTATATTCGTGAGGAGCTGCAGCATGGTTATGAAGGAGCAGTGTTCCTTGATTCTCTGGCCTACAACAGATTTGTTTCTGCAATGAGCTGTGAGTCTCAAAAACGAACCTGTTCATATTCATAGACTTTTTTTATTTGCCATGTTTCTATAAACCCTATGAAGACTATGTTTCACAGAGCATCATGATAAAGATGCTGCAGTGTAGCCCTTAAAGTCAATCAAAAAGTAGGGGAGCTGTCAAATCCAATGAGAACATTTACAGTTGCAAGAAAAAGTAATGGCACTATTTGGAATTTCCTTGTTTTCTGCATAAATTGGTAATGAAACAAGTTGTTTTTAAAGTGCTATATAAATACACTTTGATTTGATTTGGAAAAAAAAGGTTTGTAGTGGCAGCTCAGCGATCTTCCTCAGGCAACGTGGAGTGAACTGCACAGTTTACAGCTTAGTTTGTTTAGTATCCACCTTGGCAAATACAATTGTGAGTTCCCTGTGCCTCTTGACAGCTGTGGTCATTTCTTTGTTAGTTTATTTGACAGGGACGTCAAAGATGTAAATGTGTCAGCGTTAGCCAAAAGGCTCACTTTAATCTCTAAGTTGATTGTGTTTTCTACTCAGGCCAGCTTATTCTCAGCGCTCTGTGTGCCTTCCTGACAAATACCAGAAAGGTGTGGTTGTTCTCTGCTTACCTGCTCCCCCTGCTGGCCAGACTCTTCACCGCTCCTCATGCCACACTACTGACCGTCAACGATTTCTCTATGGAACTGACTGTGGCGGGGTTCACCGTGTTCCTCTTCTCTAATCTCTTTTTGCCATATCACCTCGCAAGGGCCGCATATTCAGAACTGCTCCAACTGGAGGTGCTGTTATTCTGAGTTCTTTGTTATGCTAAAACATTTTCACACTGCCTGCAGGTATATTCAACAATAAAATAAATCTACCTACAGTTAAACTGCAGTTTAAAGTGCAGCCAACATAGATAAATCAGTAAATGTTAATAAATCCAGGTACATTTCACAGTGGTTTGTTTTCTATGATTTTGTGTTTATTTTACCACTCAATGATGTTTGAGCATTCTATTTATTTGTAATGGATCATGACCCACAATTAGCCTACCCCACTTTATTACAAAATGCTGTATACTCTTACTTTTGGCTATGTATGTTTTTCACTATATGTCCAGTTTGAACGCTCCTCATCGCATCACTGCTTTGCTGTCCCTCAGGTGATCGACCTGTACAGACTTCTGACTGTAGGAATCTCTCTGTGGAACCAGTTTGCCTTCCCAGTGCTCTTCAGTGTCTTCTGGTTTGTTCTGTTCATCTTCCGGCTGTGCTCAGACATCGTATCGGGCAGCGCCACCTCAGCAACCCATCAGGGAACTGTGTACTTCCTGCTTACAAGGTGTGATGTGGTTATATATGTTACACCTTTGTGTACATTTGTTCCATACATATTTTTAACAACATGGTGTTTTCTCTGTTTCACTCACTGAACTCTGCAGTGTCTCTGAATGTTGTGCCACACCATACTCTCTACTGGGTCTGACCTTCGTGGTGTCCTATCTGGCTCTTGGGCTGCTCAACCTATGCAAGTTCTACCTGGGAGGTTTTGCAGCTGTTCAGAATGAGAATGTCATGCACAGGTGAGATGCTATGTGATATATCAGCCACATAACAGATCCATGTGTTTTATATGAGGAAATCAGGACCAGCCTCAGACACCCTGATGAGAGCTGGATGGTGAATAGAGGAGAAGAATTGTGCCTCGTATTTTAATCATGATGCACAGTTGAATGTCAAAAGATGTAACAAAAGCAACTAGAGAAAATAATATAAAGATTAACATTTGCTTTTTAAAATCTTTGTCCATTGATGCACACAAATTGTTTTGTCTTTAGTTGTCATCCTAAAAATTGTTGAAGGTTACTAGTGTAGTGTACAAGTCTAAAGTCAATGGGCTCTTGCATCGAGCTACTTCTGCTCTACTTTGACTTGAACTCGATTTTTAAATCAACTTTATCCACAGAGGTGTGACGGAGGGCGTCACTCTGCTCCTGCTCGCTCTTCAGACGGGTCTGTTAGATATGCAGGCAGTGCAGCGCACCTTCCTCCTCAGCATCATCCTCTTCATCGTGGTGACTTCAACCCTGCAATCCATGATTGAAATAACTGACCCAGTTGTTCTGACCCTGGGTGCATCGCGCAACAGGTAACAGCAGCAGGAGGGAGTGTTGTTTTACTCCTCAGTGTTTTTTTTTTTATATTAATTTTTGTTTCTCCTGTGCTTCAGGAGTCTCTGGAAACACTTCCGCGGCCTCAGCATGTGTCTGCTCCTTCTCATTTTCCCAGTGTTTATGGCTCATAAAATTTCCCAGTTCTTTCACATGGACTTCTGGCTCCTTATACTGGTTTCTAGCTGCATGCTGACTTCTCTACAGGTAGGGAGAGTGAGTGTTAAGACCGATTCTGTCACCTCTTATGTCCCTGTCTGTTTTAATGGCCTGGACAGTCTGATTGACAATTTTTAAATACATTTAATTCTGTGAAAGATTCTGTATTCTATTTCTTTTTGCTACACCCTTCATATAAACCTGTACAGCCCTGTGAATGGCCTTGGTGCTGACACTACTACTGTTGGGATTTAATTCTAATTGGAAATGTGTGTTGCCATGGTATTGTACAGGTTTTTTGATGAAGCTGCAGGCTGAACTCAAAGCTACTTTGTGTGAAATTGGAAAATGTCTTACTTTGGTAAAGGAAACCTTGAAATGACCAGCTGATTAATTTTAATAATGGATTGACAGAAAAATAATCAGGAGTTGTTTTCATAGCTGATTAATTTTTTAAAGGTATTTTTCAAGCAAAAATATTGAAAATGACTCTTGTTTCTCTCAAATGTGATGATTTTCTATTTTTTGACATATAATTGTAAAGTGAATATATTTGGCTTTTGTACTACAAGATGTTTCAAGATGTCAGTTTTTGACATTTAAAAGCTTGACAATCAGTTAATGAAGAAAATGTTCTGTAAATTAATCAATACTTGACAATAATTGTTAATTACATCCTTACTGTTTAGTAAAACCTTAACATTTAATAAACAGCTGGTATAATTAAGGGATGCAGTTCACTTCACTTCTGTTGATTATTTTTAATCTTCTAGTAATAAAGATGTTAATCGTTTCTTCTAGGTTACAGGCACCATGCTGATCTACTCCCTCTTTATGGTGGAACTGTTTCGTTATGACCCGATCGAGAGCCTGGATGAAGTGATCTACTGGGTGAACGCTGTCAGCAGGGTGCTAGAGTTTGTGGTGGCTCTCTGCGTGGTGGCTTACGGCACCTGGGAGTCGCTGTTTGGGGAGTGGAGCTGGATGGGTGCCTCTGTTATTATCATCCACTCTTACTTCAATGTTTGGCTCAGAGCTCAGTCAGGATGGAGGAGCTTCCTGCTCAGACAGGAAGCAGCAAAGAAGATCAACTCCCTCCCCAGAGCCACAGCCGAGCAGCTGCAGCAGCACAACGACGTCTGCTCCATCTGTTTCCAGGTTTGTTACCAGCAAGTCATCATCATGCTTGTGGAGTGAAGCTAAAGCTGGGGGTAGTTTACTAAATATAAAGCATCATAATTGTATTGCAGACCACTGAGAGCTGGCCTCACACATGTTCAGGTGTTTATATGTTTTTTTTTAGTTTTTAGTTTTAATTTACAGTATGTGCACATAGCCTATACAACATCTTAATACCAGATAAGAGAAGTAAAATGGTTGTGACGGGACAGGTCAGGAAGCCACAGGCATATACAGTAAACCTCTCCATAAACTAACAAAGAAAAAAAACAACACAAAACATAAACATGATTTATGCTTATATCCGGAAATATATCTTAATGGGAGACACCAGGCAGCTGACATTAATGACATTTAGAAAAATTCTGATCTTTCACCTCCAAGAGTAGCTTCAGTGGCACTTTACATTTGACAGCTCTGCTTGCACATAATGCTTAACATTGTGTGTACCCTAGTAAAACACGTCATTCCTGTTATTCCAGTTTAGCTCCACCTCTAATTCTACTGGTCACACTTGAATCTTTGGCTCGCAGCTGTGTACTTTCCTGTCCTTGACAGTGAGGAGCAGTTTGCTGATGGAGCAGCAGCAGAAAGTTTTGTTAAAACAACAAAGAACAGTCACAAAGACAAACTGAGAGGAGGAAAACAGATAAAAAGCCTTCAAGTGGGAAAAAGAAATCAAAGCGAAGAGATTAAGGAAGAGAGGCGACAATAAAAAGGCAATTTACCAGACCTTAGACTGTGTATTTGATATGTGTAAGCATTTGTGCAAATGTCCAGGCAGCCATTATATTGAACTGTATATGTACTATAAATATAGGTATGAATAATAAGTACAATTACAATATACATAATAGTATAGCATGTTATATAGTATATGTAATATTCACAATATGATACTATGAAGTGTTTAAACATACTGTATATACAATAGAAATCAAAAAGACTGATATACTCTAAAAGCAGAAACAATATAGCAGTAATACTGTATATTATAGTATTGTTATGTTGTGGTGTATATATGTAATATAGAGCAGTGTTAAAGAAAATAGTACTACACAGAGTATCTACAGGTCTTACAAAATATTTTAAAATCAGCAGCAACATTACCCTTAAATGTTTCCGTTTACAGCTGACAGACAAATTTATTCTAGGTCATGTTGTCGCTGCTGGTTTTCCACCCTACTTTAATACTCTCATTGGTATGAACTTCAAAACGGTATTAAATTACATTCTGAGTGGTTTTTCTCTGGTACACCAGTACGAGTCCCTCATATTAAAGTGGTAAGACTAGTCTACCTATGGTTAAATAGTTACAGGTTTCTAATCATAAGTTTAGGCTGAGGTAGAGGAATTCACCCAGCTCTTGCTCTTCACTAGCACCTTGCTGCCCTGAGAACAAAATACTAAGAAAGACACTTTAGTTAATGACAGCGTCCCTCTTATTGTAACAGTTAAAGCTTTAAAGAAACCTTTATCTAAATAATTATACAACAACATCTCTGTTCTTGTCCTATTCTGACTAAATCACTACTCACTTTGGATTTTGGGAAGATGTGCAACATTAAGTCACCAGGTTTTGTTGTCAAGTCAAACATGTCTCTCTTCACAGGACATGAGCTCTGCTGTGATCACATACTGTGGACATTTTTTCCATGGCAACTGCCTTCGCAAGTGGCTCTATGTGCAGGAGACCTGTCCCATGTGTCACCAAACAGTCCAATCCTCTCTCCCAGGTCAGAACCAGACTTCAGATGATGCTCCGGCAGCTCCACCTCCGAGAGGCACAGGGCCAGAAGTGGCTGCACAAGAGGGAGATGTTAACCTGGACACTGGCAAACCACAGGAGATGCAGAGCAATGATATAACTACTGATCGCACTGAGCAGCAGGAGGAGAAAGAACGCTTTGGGGATGGAGACTGTGGAACAGAAGATAAAGATCAACCAGCTGAACCTGACACAAAGGCACCTCAGGCTCTTCATTTCAGCTCCAGTGGAGACTTTGTGGGATTTGTCAGCCCAGTGTCAAACTGCTCTTCAGGGGGGCTTTCTAGTCCCTCTGTGCTGCTGAGTAAAGCTCCTGCTAACATGTACACCCAAGGGGAAGAGAATGGAAGGGACTCTGATCTACCGCTGACCCCTGATGCTGTGAATGAGAGCATGGTGGAGGGCCAGTCTGACTCTGATGGAACAGAACTTTCAGACAGCGTTAGACTGCAACAGAACGGCGATGATAAACATGAGAGCTGTGATTGGACACATAAATCATGTAACAGGCCTGATTCATCAGAATCAAATTATGCTGATAAAAATCAAGAGGCTGTCTCACATGTAACCTTATAGATAGCCAAACCTTTATCAAATTGTGTAGTGAAAACTCAAAACATTTAGACTGCACTGACAATCCTCAGAGTCATAAAGGTAACGGCACATGTTCAGACTTGGGTGTGGATGACCTCGGAGATGCTGAGCCTGTCCCACAGATCCCTCGGGTGCCCTCCTGGGACGCCACTTTACACAAGCACAGACAAGTGTAACTGAGTGTCCTGCATCAGTGCCTTGAAGGGTATAAAAGGGTGCAAAGGGGTGGTCACCCCCAAAGGGGAATTTAACACATTTGCCTTTTCTCTGTGAACCAGTGGAAAACACTGTATATTTTACAAGACAGTGTAATGAATGTGCTTCAGTTTTGTCTGGGTTGAATATAAAGACTAAATTATGTTGGGTGAAATCGGTGCCCTTATTAACTGTAAAGAAATTGTAAAAATAAAAGATTACAGTGAATAGGAACCTTGTATAACTCTCAAGTAATTATCCTGCATTGATATTTACCAGATACTTGATTAATTTTCATTTTTACCCCCTTGTCTTGTTCATATCTAAAACATTTTGTGCTAGCAGCGTTGCAAAAGGAAAACTTCAGCAGTTGTCTTTGGTACTCATGAATCAGCCTTGTGTACGGCAAAGGTTTTTTTTTTTTACACTAGTATTAATTTACAGATATAAAAATGTACTTTTTTTTTTATTATGATTATATTTTAAGAAAATCATGACTGTGCGCAGTGAGGCTGGAATTACGTGTCTTGAAGTTTAAACAGAACATTTTTAAAAATATCGTTGCTGATAATATTTGTGCTTGAGCATTACATGGTTCAGGTTTGCTGTATAAGACTTTAATCAAACCTACACCATCTAATTTAGCAACATGCATCACGTAAGGGTGATGGAGTTTAGCAGCTGAGTGTAAAAAAATGGTAGCAAAGCAGGACCCACCTGAAAGTCCTTATCGTGTCAGGTGAAATTTTGCTTTGTTTATGCATGTCCCCTCATTCCCAGCAAAGTTACAAACAAAATAGCTTGCACTATGGCAGCAACAGACAATTATTTTTATTATTGATTAATAGTTTTGACAGTAAAACAGTTAAATATCATAGACAATATTTCATTAGTGGCCTGAGAGCATGGAGACAGTAATAAGGAACGTATAGTTCTTTATGAGGTTTAAAGAATGTAAGAGGTTTTCTGTTTCAACAGGGAAAGGTAGTAAATTGGGAGAATTTACATTTACGGATATATAATTTGGTTATTAAAATACGGAAATTGACAATGTATTGAAAAAGTAAAAAATGCAGCAAAACTTGCAGTGTAGCCATAAAACAAATTTATTGCAAGACCAATGCTTTTCGGCTTTTGGACTTGGACTCAGGGTCTGTTACAAACACATACATGTCAGCCACAAAGTGATTGGTTGTTGTTTTTTTACATCCATACCACTTAAACAACTATGTTATGTACTTTTAACAGACAGACCCTGATGAAGGTAACAGGCCAAAACGCATTGGTCTTGAAATAAAGTTGTTTTATACACTGCAAATGTTGCTGGGATTTTGACCCCTTCAGTTATTTTGTCATCTACTGTATGCATCTTGACAGTGCGTGAAGTTGTGCTAGAATGTGTTTTAAACTGACAGTATAATGAATGGGTTTCTTATTGTAATTGGAAAAAAGATTATATCCTTTGAAGTGAAGGTGTAAGATTCTTGAATAAATCTGAAAATATGGTTTTCAAAAGGTTTATACCACAGTAAAAAAAAAAAAAAGTACATATATCTGCAATGTACGCCAATGTATCCAAAAAAAGGAATTGTGCCTATTTGGATGAATACAGCACAATACACTATTTTAAAATTCACTTATTTGATCTTATTATATAGGAGAAATTGGCCACTTTTTGTTTCTCATACAAGTTTATTGTTGCATTTTCTATCAATATGGTGAGTCACCCATATTTTTTTCTGCAGGCTTGTAACCAATCTGCCATCACATCCGCCCTCCGCTGCCAACTGCGCAGCCTTCATCATAAAGCTTCAAATATACGCACACAGCTACTAGTTACCAAACGGCGTCGACCGAAACCGCAAGTAAAACAGCTTTGTTGTCCGGGACACTTCACTTGCCACACGCACTTACTATTCAGTCTCAACCGGGGATACAAAGAGTTCGAAAAAGACGTTGAAACTACCAGGAAAGTGGGGGTTAAGGAAGGATAGGTTAACGACTGTCGTTCGGCAAAAATTAGCTGGATAAAATCGCCAGCTAGCTTTGTTGCTAATTCCGCGTATACGTAGTTTTAGCTCGCTAGCCAGCTAATTACGCTAGCTTGAAAGGGAAGGCCGTCGGGTTAACACAGCGTCACTGTTTAAGCGACACCTTCTGGGATATCAGAGTTGCCCCTCACCGCTAGGATCGGGAAACGTTTAAATTAAAGAGCAGAACACAGAGAGAGGATGGCCCTGAAAAGGATTCACAAGGTAAGATGGCTTCGTTAATGTTAGCTAACTATTAGCTCTAGGTGCTAGCCTCCCACAGCGTTGCTAGCACTGTTCTTGATACGGAATCCTGTAAAACATGGCGGTGAACACATTCGAGTGTTTAGTAATTTTCGTCTTTCTAATGTTTTTGTTGTGTTTAGGGAGTTGAGTGAACAATCTTTTTTTCTCTTTGCACCAGCCCACAGACGTGGCTCCGGCAACATTCGGCTAGCTTGGCTAACATCAGTTTCACCTACAGGTTCAGTGTGCCTATCGAAGTGGTTTGACGGTGAAAAGAGGCCGCATGACTTGCCCAACACCCCATACCTTTACATAAACGCACACGTTAGCCTTCAGCCTGGTTATAGTACACTGGAAACTCACGTTGATGTTGCGTGTCTTGGCTAACCGTTTTATAACAACGAGGAAGAAACGGCTCTTCCCAGAACAAATGACTCACGTCACTCATAGACTCTGTTAAGAGTCAGACCTGTGTTCATGATACAGTTCCGTGGTATTTGTTCTGAGCGTGTGCACATCACAGAATGTCAGTTCTGGTAGTTACACGGAGGAAATGGCAACGATAGAGAGCCGACTAACCTCTTTAGTGTTCACACCGTGTTCTTTCTTTCTTGACTCTGCTGTTAAGTAGTCTTCCAAGAAAATCCATAAACTTGTGAAATGATGTGTCAGAAGGCCAGGGTGGGGCAGTGGCCTCCACTTTACAGTAGATGTATATAAAAAAGAAGCTGTAGACCTAAAAATAACAGCACAGGCTGTACTGTATATATGCTTGGCTCTCATCTGCCTGTTAAATGTGGACGCAAACAGCAAGGCCCTTGAAGGACAGTGGCAGGCGATAACACCAGCGTGAGGGTGTTGTGAAATAATCTCATGTAGTGTCTCCCATCCCCAGTATCCCCTCTATTATTAAGCATAAGTGGTGCTTCACCTTGCACATTGATTTCACATCCCCTCTCCTGATTGTTTTGTCTCTGCTCATTACTCTGGTCTAATTGGTTATTGTTCTAAACCTATTTTCGTTACAGGAGCTTAATGACCTGGCTCGTGACCCTCCAGCACAATGCTCAGCTGGACCAGTGGGTGATGACAGTAAGTGTCCCAGATGTTATTAGGGATGCAACAAATATTGTAGAGGTGTAACAATTACTCAGTTGACAGAAAAATGGTCAACTGGGTAATTTTTTTTTTTAATGCAAAAATGACAACCATTTGCAGATTTGTTTTAGAAATGTGTGACTGAGGATTATATGAAAGTGAACTGTTGTGGATTGAGTCAAATTACAGACCAATTAAATGAGAAATTGTTTGGAAGATTAATTAGTTGCAGCTATATTTTTCTTTATTCAGTTTTCTAATGATTTTGTTAGTATTTTGCCAGGAGTTGTGAAAGAGAGTTGGCAATTGGCTAATCATTGCATATGTGAAGATTTTAGAGTGTTGGCAGGAGCAGAGTCTAAAAACAATATTCCACACTTGGAGGTGTGGAACAAAAACAGCAGTACCTAATGCTACAAAACAAACTGGATGAGCTACATTTTCAAGATCAGGGACTTCAGATTTCTGACATCCAAAGAAATCTCATTGGTTAAATTAACTGAAAGCACAGATGGATGTAGGCCTCATGCTGAGAATTGATAATCTTGGTCACCCCACTGAGTGAAACACTAGAGGGAAGACTGTTTACAGCCATCATGGCTACAAAACAGTATTACTAAAAATACACAAAGGGAAATGGAGTTGCTGTAAAGACACTTTTAGAGAACTAGTTCTGTCAGATCACATACCTGTGACCTTTACCTGTTTACTTTGTGTTCTCTGCAGTGTTTCACTGGCAAGCCACAATCATGGGACCTGTAAGTAGATATTTAATATAATTTTCCTTTAAACTGACATGATATTTATTAGTATTGTGTTCCGGCTGTCTTAAATTCATACAACTGACTTGAACATGGAAAGATGTGGACAGGAGACTCAAATAATTATTTGTGAAATATGCAAATGAATTTTTTTTTCTCCCCCTCCCCAGAGTGACAGTCCATATCAGGGAGGTGTTTTCTTCTTGACAATTCATTTTCCAACAGACTACCCCTTCAAACCACCCAAGGTAAGGCAGCATAGCTGATCACATCTGAAACAAGATTGCTTTGCTGCATTTGGGTAAATAAAGGTATATCGTCATTCATCTATCAAACCAGCCACCTGCAGTATTTGTCATCAAGAAGACAAGTTGTCTTTGTGATGTTAAAATAATGTCCAGGACTGGGGTCAGGGATTGTGTACTATAAAAGTCAGCACAACTGTCATTGTGCATGGTGTGTAAATGATTAAAAAGAACAAATGTTTCTTGTAAATGAAGCCCAGTTGTTTAGTCATTAAAATATTTGGCAGATTGACAACCCTTGTGAAGTAACACTTGTTGTTCTAGAAGTTGAGCATCAGACGTCACTGCCTTGTGTGAAGGAATTTAAATTGCGCGTCACCTGTGACTTGGGTGTTTGAGTTGGTTTCATTTTACGTGTCCTCACTTGTTTGTTTTTTTTGTTTTGTGTTTTGTTTTTTTCTTTTCTCCCTTTTTAGGTTGCATTTACAACAAGAATTTACCACCCAAATATTAACAGTAATGGCAGTATCTGTCTGGATATTCTCAGATCACAATGGTCTCCTGCACTTACTATTTCTAAAGGTATGGATAATCATGAAAAGGGCACATGACCTCTTGACAGCAACACTATCAGTTGACAGTGATAATATATTTTCAGTAGGTAAGCAAATCAAGAAGGATCACCTGCCTTATTTGCTGGCATGTTGTAGATTACTATTCTGTAGATGACTTTACTTTTAAATATGTTTAAATAAGCAAAGCTCTTTATTTGGCTACAAATGTTTTGGCAGGTATTTTATTAGGTTTGCTTTTGCATGTCAGTGCTTATTTTGAACACAGCAAATAATACAACCTAAAATTGAAATATACACACACACACACACACACACACACACACTTGCATTCAGCCATGTGCACATGTTTGGATTATTTGTAGTCACCTTGATTTTTAGACAGACAAATTACATTTTATATTTATACATGCAGCTCATTGAGCCCACATCTGTTAATGAGGTTTATGTAACTTGTAGATAAATCAACAACCGAAACTATTGAAGATGGCTTTTAAAAAAAAAAAGGTTAATGTTGATGTTCTATTTCTTGCAGTTCTACTCTCCATTTGCTCACTCCTATGTGACCCAAACCCTGATGACCCACTAGTGCCAGAGATTGCACGAATCTACAAAACAGATAGTCAGAAGTACGTATGCATTTCTCTGACTGATAACCCATTCTTTACACATGTGAAATGGCCCCCCTTTTTTTTTCCCCTTCTTTTAAATCCCCAAAAGAAGAACAGCGTTGTGGTGTATTGACAGTGATTGTGACCTTACGGGTGTAGAAGTGTCACTTGAGTCTAGTATGTAACCTGGTTTAACTCTGTCAGGTACAATAAACTAGCTCAGGAGTGGACGGTGAAGTATGCCATGCTTTAGGGTAAGGCCAGGAGGCTGTGCTGCATCTTGGCTTGGTTGGATATGATGATATGGTCTCAGTGGCATGACTGCAGTGTGGGATTTGACTGGACTAATCTCTGGCTGTCTATGCTTATAGAGTGACCTGTCAGCTCACATCTTTGGTTCAGCTTTTTACATGCACCTTGATTTTGTTCAGATGGAGCCTCTTGATGTGAAAAAACAAGTTAACTTGTTTTTCTGCTCATAACTAAAATGGGTGGTTTCTTGGCACTGCTCTTTGGGGGTATTGCTAATGCAGCCCAGAGAAATTGAGTTGCAGTATTAGGGCAGAGACTCTCCTAGTTGACATTAAAGAACTAGCATTGACAGTGGTAGACTTTTGTCGGTGCCAGTTGGGTCGAAAAAGTGCCAAAGTCTCTTTATTTTAGGTGGAGGTTACGCCCTAGTGATGTCAGTAACATTCACCCTGTGACACACGGCTACTTATTCACATTGTTATTCTGCCACACCAGAGAATAGTCTAACATTTGATCATGTGGGCAGTTAAGTTACCACATAGTGGCCCCCAAAACGAGCCACAACTTAACTGTGCATGCACAAGCGTCATAGAGGCACTCTTGTACTTCATCAAATAGAACTAGACCTCTGGCATTAACATAACAGTCAGATTAGGTGAAATCCTATATCTGCATTTTCTCTATGGTCTCGCTAGGACACATCCTGAGGATTTCGGAATGGTAGCCTACTGGGTGTGGGTTTAATGTACTGGTGTCACATCTCAGTACGTTGCAGAATTTTGAAATGCAAAAATGTCCCACATTAGGGCAAGTCACCCTAGTTAAATTACAGCAAAGAATCATTTTTTTTTGTGTATCGTGTACTGCAGGCTATTGTGCATAACCTTATTCCCTTATTCCATGCCCTCTGTGAAGTTGTATCATGTTAACACATAATGAAATGAACAACTTCAATATGCTTTGTTTAAGGTATCATGCATCAAAATTAAACTAACATGATCCCTGTTTTGCACTCAAATGTTCATCTTAAATTTTATTAATTCCCAGTAGCGATGCTGTGCCCATCTTGACCACAGCTGGTTTTTTCCCCCTTTTGGCTGTCACTGTGCAACAGCTCAGCTGTTTGCAGAAAAACATCAGTCTGCAACGTGATGCAGGAGTTGTCTATAGCGAACATCAGTGGTGCCTGCACGATTTATATTTCATAGTACACACAAGAACTGCCTAGCGCAGCATAAATCTGTTTTAATGAGGAACTTTTCTCATAAGATGCTTAGCTCATTTTTATGAGAAACATTCACATTATTTCTCATTTTAATGACCTACTATACTTTCCTCAAAAACATCTTGGAATGAGTGTAGCACAGTCTTTGAGCAGCATGTTGGTAGCTCATTCCATTCAGATGGTTCTTATCGGTTGGAATCGGCTTTATTGGCCAGGTGTGTTGGAGCAATTTGACTCTGGTACAGTGGCTCTCAGTGTGTATGTGCAGTGTTGCTCCATAACCCAACGAGTAGTCAAAATGAGGCTGGGAGAACAAAGAAAAATGTGCATTAGGAAAATAAAGTGCTTATGGTGGCAGAAGGCCGCCCACCAAGGGCCGCGGTGTTTCAGAGGTTTCTTCTGTTAAAGGGAGTTTTTCCTTTCCGCTGTCGCCAAGTGCTGCTCAAGGGGGATTTGATGGGTTTTCCTTTATGATGATGCTAAGGTCTAGACATTACTTTGTAAAGTGTCCTGAGACTATGACTATGATTTGGTGCTACACAAATAAATTTGAATGATGTTGGACGTCCACTTCAGGGGGGTTCTCTAGCTAGTGATGTTTTTTAGGCTTCACACAGTCGAGGGCCCATTTCCACACAATGACCAACGTCTCCAACCCATTGAGCGAAAGAAAATCATCCCTGTTACGAAGTATGACTGCATTGTGAGATTTGACTGTACTAATCTCTGGCTGCCTGTGCATGTAGAGTAACCTATTAGGTCAGGTCTTGGGTTCAGCTTTTTACATGCACCTTGATACTGTTCATATGGAGCCTCTTGATGTGAAAGAACAAGTTGAATTTTTCTGTCACAGTGCTGCTCACTAATTTTTCCCCTTTTCTCTTCGTAGATACACCAAAATGGCAAAAGAATGGACACAAAAATATGCAATGTGATGGCATCATTTGGTACGCTGGTGGAAAATGGTGTTGTGGTCTCAAACTCACAAATTCCAGAAATTTTTTTTTTCATTTTTACTGTATTCTTTTGTTAATCAGAGCATTTTACCTCCCATTCTTTTTCCACCTCCGCGCTCATAAGAAGATAGTGTTTTCTCTTTAGGACACGTGGTAGTTTCTGTGAAGTTTTGACTCCTCTTCTGTATGGAGTTGTAATTTAAAAAAAAAAATCACCATGGTTCTAAACACTCAGCTTGAGCATGTACCAGTAAGAGTTGTTCAACCCAAAATTGGTGGTTGTAGTCATTTACTCTGCACACACACAGGTAATGGAATATAATGCGACTGGTCTCCTGACACTGAACAGCATATTGACACCATGTGGGGTTGAGATTTACATAACTTTAGGTTGGGTTCCTCTGAGCACTTGTAAAGAAGCCATACCTAGAAACAGAAAAAGTTTCAAGTTGTCAGCATTCTAATTAAATCTGCAAACATCTAAAAAGCAAAAGCACCAGTCTCTGAAAGTTCCTGGTCTAGTGTGGCATCAGTACATTCTTATTAACAGGAATCTGTTACCTGAAGAAAGTAGTGTATCTTATTCCACTATCAGTGTGTGTTCAGAGAAGCACAGCACTATATATCAATGTTAAAAACAAAATATAAGAACTTCATTGTTGTATTTTATGCATGTTAATAAAGGTAGGCTATTATATCTGATGTTTCTGCAAAGTGCATTGTAAGAATGAAAAGTTGGGAAAAAAATTGGTTCCCCCAATGGCTATCTATTTTTGTTATTTAGAAGCCAGTAGATGAGCAGTTAGTTTTATGCCCACTCAAACACTGTCTTCTTGTAGCCCTAAAATGTTGATGCAAAGCTCATGGTTGATAATCAACTTGTGGCTCTGTTTCTTTTTAGTTTCGCCTTCAATAAAATTACTTAAACCATACACTGAGTCAGTAGTGTTTTTGTCTCCCCCTAAGTGTACTAAATTCAAAAGTTCTGTTAGAGGAAGGCTGATGGGCATGTGCTCATGTAAATCTGTTTGTATGGCATTCATCCTTTAAATCTTTTGTGCCTGTTAAAGATGGGAGAACCTTTTTATTTCAAAATGTTTATGTGGTTGCAGATTCTCTGTATTTGCAACTTTTTTTTTTTTTTAAATGATCTATTTTGCTTTTTAGGGACTGGAGAAAATGTGATGGGTGTTCAAACAAGTACAACTCTTAATGGTTTAGGGGATTTTTTGTACTTGGAGAAAAGTGTAATTTCTTTAAAGTAAATGCTGCTTTAAATACTTTAATTTGCTCTTAAAGAAGCTGCCAGTACCTACTTAGATCTGACAAATACAAGCAAGTCTTGTTGTAGCTCCATTAATTGCTGGTTACAGCGAATTGAGGAGTAAATTGGCCAAAGGTACATCTAAATATTGAATGACACTTGTTTATCGCTGTGTTAATTACATTCATGTCTGAAACATGTTGCCTTAAGTCAGTTTTTGAATTTAAGCAATGCATTTCCTCTCTTCCCGGTAAATTAAAGGGCTAACGGGAATGCAAAAAAAAAAAAAAAAAAAAAAAACCAAAAAAAAATTTTTTTTTTTTTTAGGGGGGGGCAAATTTTGAAAAATTTTAGGGGG